AAAGGGTTTGTTTAATTTTCATTGGAATAAAAGATAGATTAATGTTTTTGCCTTCATTTGATTACCAGAAAAATGAAAATACACAACACAGAATTTCTAAAAAATAGGTAAATAAAATTACAATCAAAATTTCATAGGGCCCTATTATTGTATACAAATTAATCAATTAAGTTGTTTTTATGAATTCAATTAATTAGATATGTTTTTGATTAAACCATTAAAATGGAATACAGAAAAATTCAAATGGAAAGCGCAGAATTTGGGCCCTAAGAATGTAATTTTTGGTAAACTTTTAATAGGCCTAAATTGCTGTTAAATTAAACAAGTTTCGTTATTTTAATTAATTAGACATGTTTTTTGTTAAAATTTAATATAATCAACGAAGAAAAAAAAAACGAATCAAGAAAAATTAAAACGGAAAAAACGATTTTGGAAAAAATAAAAATTAGGCTAATTTGGGAAAAATAACGGATTTCATAGGGCCCTACAAATATCATGCATCTGAAGCTATAATTTTAATACTAAGCAACCGTGCATATTATATAGGGCCTATTTTAATGTTTTTAAATGGCGCTCACTCGTTTTTGTGAAAGACCCAAGAAGGACCATGCACAGTCACTTTCCACACAGGCACACTTCATGTTTGGTTGAAATAATCCTTAAGCATGTAAATTTATAATTTCCTTCAGTTTAATTTAAATGTGCAATTAAAATAAATAAAAAATAAATGTATATTTTAAAGTTTAGAATTAGACAGCCTTGCGTTGTGTAGACAATTGCATAGTGAAAATTACCCCAATGCACCACCTAGTGTCCAACCTACTCTAAAACTATTATAACCTGTTTAAATGTGAACAAGGGATTTACAACATTAAAGGCAGAGTGAGTGATTTTTCAAAAAACTCTTTAGAAAACTGATTCGGGCCGAATCGCAAAACAAACTTGTAGCTGTTATGTATCTTTGTAAGTCATTGTAAGCCCTCTTTTGAGGCATGCGCAAGCGCACGATCAAATATTCAACAAAGGATTGATTAGACCACCTGAACTGGACAAATTAAGCCTTTCATTTACTAAAAGTAGATTCATGTGGGGTCCGTGTGAAGGAAACTTCATGCTAAATCAGCCCATGTGATACTGGTGTCCTTGTGTGTGTAGTGTTGTGTTCTCCAGGTCATTATTATAACACCTCAGTCCATCGCTGCATCCGCTGTCCTCATGGAACCTACCAGGCTGAGTTCAGACAAAACTACTGCATCTCCTGTCCGGGAAACACCACCACAGACTTCGACGGGGCCATCAGTGTGTCTCAATGCAAGAGTGAGTCTGTTCATCCTCAAACACAAGTGTGGACTTCTTATGAGTCCCTTACGCTGATAAGAGTCTGTTGTTGATTGGAAATCTGGAAGTAAAAGCAACATCAGATCAACAAATTGCATTTTGAGTTAAATTCTGTGTTTTCTGAAGGTTAAACCTGTATTTTGGCACTGGGAATAAAAAGCATTTACGGACAAAAATCCAGGTTTAGAAATGTTCTCAGTGAGGAATTTACCATAATGTTATCTTCTTGTTTGTTTGTGGGTGCATTCAGATCGGGAATGTGGGGGTGAAATAGGCGAGTTCATCGGATACATCGAGTCTCCCAACTATCCAGGAAACTACCCAGCCAACGTAGAGTGTATCTGGACGATCAACCCTCCACACAAACGCAAGATTCTGATCGTTGTTCCAGAGATCTTCCTCCCATCTGAGGATGAGTGCGGAGATGTCCTAGTAATGAGGAAGAACGGTAAGTTTTTGTGCTCTTCCAGGTTTAACCTTTATATCAAGCATCAAAAATGATTTCACACTTTCAGTACAACAAACTTAATGTTAACATGCATATAGATTTGATATTAGTGTAACAAAATATTGACTTACCAGAGTGTCTGCAGTCTCTTCATTTTAGTGGTGATGGTTTGCTTCTAAAAATAGTTTAGCTTTGATTTGAACACTAACATTTAGTTTTCTTAGGATCAGTGACCTCTATCACCACCTATGAAACATGTCAGACGTATGAGAGACCGATCGCTTTTACCTCCCGATCGCGCCGCCTCTGGATCAACTTCAAATCCAATGATGTAAACAGTGCTCGCGGATTCCAGATTCCATACGTCACTTACGATGGTACAGTCTCCAGATCAGCCCTAGTCTGTACACATTTAGTTCTGTATATATAAAAAGAAAAATAATGCTACAAATTCTCAGGAGAAAGATGTATATTGATGTTTGATAAGATATTTCATGGGTTTCTATTCATTCTTGACTTTCATTGGCACTAAAATGTCTTTGATTTTCTTTTATTTAGAAGACTATGAGCAGCTGGTTGAAGACATTGTAAGAGATGGAAGACTTTATGCCTCTGAAAACCATCAAGAAATACTCAAGGTTAGTTTTGCATTGCAAAAAAAAAAATCTTGTTTTCCAATATAAATATCTAAACATTCTTAAGATACATTAACTTGAGAAGTAAATTGACTTAAGATATAAGTCTTGTTTTCTGTATCAAAAGCAAGTTTTTGCTTAAAACAAAAAAAGGTATCGGCCAATGAGTAAGAAAAATAATCAAGTTTCCCCCTTGAAATAAGTGTATTTTTCAGTCTCCACTGGCAGATGTATTTCTTGTTTTAAGCTCACTTAATTTCTATATATTTTTCAGTAAACAAGACTTACTATCTCAAGACTTTTTGCTTTTCAAGTTACAGTACCTTCTATTAAAGGGATAGTTCACCCAAAAATGAAAATTCTGTCATTAATTACTCACCCTCATGTCGTTTCAAACCCATAAGACCTTCATTCATCTTCGGAACACAAATTAAGATATTTTTGATGAAATGTGAGCGCTCTCTGACCCTGCATAGACAGCAACGCAACTGAAATGTTCCTCTCGAGAATACTTTTTGAGCGCAAAAAAAACAAAAATAAAAATTTTTTCAACAATTCTTCTCCCCCGAGTTATGTCTTCCGCCATTTTAGAGAGTATCACAACACATACGCACGCTTTTCCCCAAGCGTTAACAACGCTGATTACGCAGATTACGTTCAAGTGCAGGCTTTCTCCCCCGAACGTAAGCAATGCTGATTACGTCAATTACGCTCTTGGGTACTCTCCAAAATGGCGGAAGACGTAACTCGGGGGAGAAGAATTGTTAAATAAATTGTTATTTTTATCTTCTTTGCGCTCAAAAAGTATTCTCTTAGCTTCACAAAACTGAAGTTGAGCCACTGATGTCACATGGACTGTTTTACCGATGTCCTTAATACGTTTCTGGACTTTGGGAATATTTCAGTTGCATTGCTGTCTATGCAGGGTCTGAGAGCTCTCACATTTCATCAAAAATATCGTAATTTGTGTTCCGAAGATGAACGAAGGTCTTACGGGTTTGGAACGACATGAGGGTGAGTAATTAATGACAGAATTTTCATTTTTGGGTGAACTAACCCTTTAAGAATTTTATACTGGAAAACAAGAAAAAATACCGAGGAAGAAAATTTTTCTTTTGCAGTGTAGTGAAGTCTAACAGCAATGAACGTGTTAAAATAATTGTATGCGTTTTCCAAGACACAAGAGTCTTTTAATACATCTCTTTATCCAAAACCCGTAATTTGTGATTTTTGCCTAAACTGTGTTCATGGTATAGAAAGATTAACCATACATGATGACAATTTATTCCAGGTCTCATTGCATTTCTCTCCTTTTTGATTCTCACCAGGACAAAAAACTGATTAAAACTCTGTTTGATGTGCTGGCTCACCCAAACAATTACTACAAGTACTCAACTCGGGACTCCACAGAGATGCTCCCACGTTCATTCATACGCCTCATCCACAGCAAAGTCTCCGCCTTCCTGCGTCCGTACAAATAGTCCAAAAGCGCTGTCCACCTCCACACATCTCCAGTCACCTGGCCTTGAGTCAACGGGATCCTACACACATTTAAAGGAAATACACACACTCACACACACACACATTTTCAATGGCACACACACACAATCACACTATGCAGATGTTTCACTTTACCTTTTTCTTTTCTTTTTCTTGTCAGTCATCTCCGAGAGGAAAAAAGCTTCTGTGTAGTCTACATGTAATGCAGTCGTATCAAGCCAAACTGAAGTGTTTCCTTTCTCTACGTGTTGGTCACCGTTCTGTACGGTGTTGATGTTTTTTTGTTTGTACGTTTGCACGCTCAGTCCTGAGGCGTCCCGAAGAGGACGACGATGGTTTGGGTGGTTCCCATGCCCCCCGTTAAGAGCGACGTGTGAGTTTAAACACACCTGATTGTGTTGTACAGACAAAAGAAAGTTGTAGCATGTCAAAGAAAAGAAAATCTATTTGTCGAACTGGAGCTAGCTGTGATCGTGCTTTAGAAAATAGTCTTTTTCCCCCAATTTCCAGCTCTCGTAAACTCGTAGTTCTCAAAATAAATGTACAATCTTTTGTATATCTGTACTTTTAGTGTGCTCTTGGTAAGATCTACTTCATATCAAGCATTTCACAATGTTAAAGCATTTTATTTGAGCTCCTAGAGCATACATGTAATCTATAAATCATGCTGTTAATACAGTAATGTTTTATTAAGGTCTGCCTGTTCGGATTGTATTATTGTCAACAGCATATTCGTCTATTTCCTAATATTCAAATTAATTTAACAAGGCATAAGAGATATGCAGGTTATTGGAAAGGCTCGGGTGATGAAAAGGTCGGTTGGTATTGTAAAAACAGTGGACTGTTAACACTCAGTTCTGTGAGAGTTTTTTGCAGAACATGCAATTGCTGCTGCTTCTTCAGAAACGTCACTTTAAGCCTTTGGTTTTACCTAATGTGACTCACGAAATTTCCTATAGCGAAGAGCAGTCAAGAGGACAAAATCGTTCACAGGTTGGAAGTAATGTTTTCATAATGCAGACACGAATCACTGATAAACGTAAACCACAGGTTGACGTGGATGGACTTGAGCAAAAAATGGCATCGCTCCAGATTTCAGGATGAAACGACGTTGAAGTGAACGATGAAGTGTTTCGAGTTTGTTTTGCACATTACATAAGGACCAAAAGAGAAGCAGCATTCGGGTTACAAGTGTTGGGATTCAACGGAGCGTGGTGAGAAGTGCCTGAAGTGCAAAAGTGTCAGGATAAACCTGTGGATGTTGACATTTATGAGTGTTTCCTGTATTAATTATGAACCCGTTAGTATTCCTCACAAATGTGTTTATAGGTAAAGCCCTTTACATGAAGTGAGAAAAGAACGAATCTTTGAGAAGGTTAAACCATACCCAGTTTTGATATGTAAACAGAAAAGGACTGGACAAAATGGTAGTTTACTTTTCTTTTTTTGTATATTGTAAATATGAAATAAACGTAGACTGATTGGAGTCTGAGAGATAAGTCCAAACAAGTTGTTTTCCCGACCTTGTATTTAGAAACTTACCGTTGCGCAAAGGTTGACACAAAAGAGGGTGCGTTCAATCTTTAAACATTAATGCCAGATTCATACTCTACGCAAGTATGCAAACGCTTGGCCAGTGTGTTGCAAGCACATGGTCCCGTTGTATATAAACATGCATTCTTGAGTTGCTGTGGTGGTAACAGTCTTCGGGACTTAAGGGGGCTATAGTTACTTTGCCATGTTTGTATTAAAAAAACAAAAAGCTAGCTATATATACATCGACTTTAACTTGCTCAACGAGATTCTCTTTGCCATCTCAGCAGCTCACCTAAAAGACAATTTTTACCTTAAAAAAAGATAGTTTACGCTAATGCAATACTCAGAATGCAACATACAGTGCATGCACGTTTCAGAAAACAGTGATTCATTAAATCAAGCTTGCGTGGCTAAAAATGTTTTCATTTACATACTTGCGTAGAATGTTTTGGGACTATTTCTGTGCTGGAAAAAAAAAATTTGTGGTATTGACTTCACTGGCTCCACATGGGGTCAAATGCATTTAATCGTAACCTTTGACCCAAACTTCTTTTATTTAAAGTTTATCGGTCTACAGACACACATGGTTGTCCCACCACTTTTTTTTATGTAATGGACAGAAAATTTATCCCTGAAGACTATATCATAAAATCCAGAACTAAAGAGAATGGAATGTGTGAGATGTTTGCAAGGGTTACTATATGAAGCAGTCACTGAAATTTTAGCTATTTTGTACATTTTTCATCTATTACAAGGGTCACTAATATAATTGTTTAAATGTATAAATATGATAGTATAGAAAAAACAGCTTGGGTTAACCCAAGAATAAGTGAAATGTCCATATTGCCCCACTCAAGAAACCAAACTCAAGTTCGTCACCATCTACTACTAAACATGTCATATCCTGTGTTGCATCACTGCAGGTTGGATATCTCCATTAAAAAAGGGATGGGTCATATGTGAAATAGCCACGATTGCCATGAAATGAAAAGTTTGTGGCAAAGTAGTCAATGTTTTGTTGAATGTTCACTAAAAGAAATGCAGAGTATTAGCTACTCTAACTAGTCAACGTCATTGGCAGTCTGTGATTGCTGCTTTATTTTTATAATTCCCCCTTTGTCTTTGCTCTACCAAACCCATTTCAAAGTTAAATGTTTTGATCAATCCATGTTGCTCTTTTACTTTATTTTATTTTTGTCTGGTTTTTTTGAGGGGGGGGGGGCGGGGGGTCTTTTCCCCATTTTTCTTGGTCAAAATGTCTTTTTTTTTTTTTTTTTAAGAGAAAATTTACTTTGCCACAATGCTTCATGGAATGGGAAATGGTATTTGCACTTGAAATTTGTTTATGCTCATGTAAAAATGTCTGGATTTTGTATTGTCTTTTTAAATGATAAAAAAAAATTGGTGTTCTTAAAGTTGACTATTTTGAGTTCTTTACATGTGGAAGATAGATGACAAGCACAAGAAATAGGAAGAAGTATCCACAATGCTGTAGCGTGCATACATATTAAGACCTATAGCTAAACTTGTTACTTCATTAGTTCAGAATATTTTATTATTATTTTGGCCTTAATCTTTTTACCTAGATTTATATTACCAGGAATAATTACCAATATTTATCTCATTATTTGTCAAACTAATATTAAATATGACTTTAATTTATATAATTAATCATTACAATTTGATTTGATGCTCAAGAAACATTTGTTGAAAAGAGTTGTGCTGCTTCATATTTTGTGTGGAAATTGATACATTTTATTTTTCAGGATTCTTAAATAGAAAGTTAAATGAACAGCATTTATTTGCATTTCTGAAATATATTTATTACATTTATTACAGCATTTATAGATGGTTTTATAGGACGCATGCGCCGCCTGGCCCTAAGTTAACTTCCAGTCTGTTTGTTTATCGGTCTGGCTAACCTTAGTGTCTAGTAATATGGCGCCGACTACAAACGCAGTTAAGGTGATGAGTAGACTGAAGCTTGTGCGCAGGTTGTTGTGCTATGGGATGCAACAGTGTTTCCCATACATTGATTTTTTTCTGGCAACCCGCCACAATATCAAAACTGACCGTCACAAATATAGTTTCCAAAAGGCTTTGACTTCGTTGAATAACATGAGCACTGCACGTTTCAAAGTCAAAACAAGGATCGGGTGTTTTTATATCATTGTATCTCTGACTGTCTTTATAAAATTGTCGATGTCCTTTATAATTTCATCATGCCTGTAATGCCTGATAAAGCAGCATTTGTGATCGCAGCGCTGCTTTATGTACAGCCGTTACCGGGGAAACCTCTATTTCTGGATCACCGCTGTGCGAAGAGAGGCTTGGCAGCCAGGTAAGACATAGTTTTAACCTGCTAGCTAATGTAATTTACTGATTTATTTTGCTTGTTATCAGAAATAATCCACTCTAGAGGGACTCTCTCGCCAGGTAAGACATAGTTTTAACCTGCTAGCTAATGTAATTTACTGATTTATTTTGCTTGTTATCAGAAATAATCCACTCTAGAGGGACTCTCTTGTTATTGATTCTTTGCGGAAGTCTACCGGAAGTTAAGTTTAGGTCACAAAAGCACGCGTGCGCAGTTACGTTTGTTTATGTTGTTGCTCTTGAAACGGTCTATTAAATAGAAATCCTTTGTAACATTTTAAATGTCTCCACTCTTCACTCACTTTTCATCACTTTAATGTATGAATAAAATTATTAATCTCTCTTTTTTAAATCTTACCACAAATGTTTGAGTGGTATCATTGTTTCCACAAAAATGTTAAGCAGCAAAAACTGTTTTTAACATTGACGATAATAAATAGTAAATGTTTCTTGAGCAGCAAATCAGCATAAAATGTTTTCTTAAGGATCAGAAACTTCTCTTTGTAAACAACAACAGATTTATAAATGATTTCTAATGACAAATGTTGCGTTCCCAAATGCAAATTAAAGCGACTCAAATGCAGCTAGCATTTACAGTGAATCAACACTGAAAACACAGTACTGTAGACATGTAGCGCATCAGACTATAGCCTACATTTATACAATTACATCACAGCCATTGCGAATTTTATCATAGTACTACTAAGCAATCTCAAATTCTCACCACCATTCATACAAAGTAAGCCGGCGAGTAACATTTGAACCCTTTTATCTGTGCTGCGAGCTGGTTCAGCTAAATCTGGAAGAATCACATCCCTGTGACATGTACTTAAGTAAAAAGTAGCCATTACAACTACCTGATTTAGTGTCACACTGGTAACTGGAACTCATCATATTAATACATTAACAAAAGAAATTACAATTCAAATTTTGTTAGCTAATGAATGTATCTAGGCTGAACAACCACCATGTAGAACACAAGCAGAGAAAAGGCTAAGCTTTAAAATATATATTGTCGCGGGGTGAATGAGAACACAGACTCGGTACTGATCGAAAGAGCCCCGGAGGGTGATTTATTTGCCCACACACTGATCACACGTGCCCTGATGAATGGTGCTCGGTGCCCGTCTCAGCGTGGTGCTCGTGGGGTGAAGTGCCGTGGTGCAGATCCCTCTCCCAGGGTGCCTTCGGACTCTGTGAACAAGGAGCAGGAAACACCCCGCCATCCAGGCCCGGGCCGTCGGGGCCGGGGGTTCCGTGGGCATTGGCTCATCCGCAAAGTCGGGGACCGCCGGTCTGCTGCCTGGTCACGGTGCACCTTCGAGCGGACACCGCTCCATCACCCTGCGGGGCGTCAGGCCCGCTCTCTCCCCTGCCTCGCGGGTGTTCGTTGCCGCCGCCAGCTCGACCGCCTCTACCAGGCTGTGGATGTCCTGGGGATTTCGCATACTGACCGGGCGCCTCAGCGGGCGGGGCAGTGCCCGTAGCAGTCGATCGATGAGCGCTTTCTCGGCTACCTGGTCCGGGGTCGGGGACCCCGCGAGAAGCCACAGGTGAGTCAATCGGGCCAGTTGCGCCGCTTGCGCTCTCACTGGCTGCCGTTCATCATAGGTCCATTGATAGAACTGTTGCGCCGCCCCCATGGGCGATAGGCCCACCCGGGCTAGGATTTCGGCTTTGAACTCGTCATACTGTTCATTCCGGGGTGCCCTCAGGGCATAATAGGCCCGCTGCGCTTCTCCGGTGAGGAAGGGGGCGATGATGCGAGCCCACTCTTCCTGGACCCACCCCTCCCGGGCCGCGATGACCTCAAACGTGTGGAGGTAAGCCTCGATGTCGTCGTTCTCGGTCAACCGGACGAGGTATTGGTGCGCTTTGACCGGCGCTTCCGGGAGGAGCAGGCGCCCCGCCATGCTGGCCTGCAGCTGTTCCACGACCCGGTCAGTATATTCCTGCCGGGCTGCCAGTCGCTCGGTAAACTGCTGCTGGCGGGCCGAGAGCGCCATTAGGCGGGATGACCTCTTCCATATTTCCGGGGGAAGAGAGCGGTTTCTCCTAGAAGAAGCACAGAGATTGTTATAGCAACCTGGCGGTACCAGTCAGTGTCTCAATTCACCTGTTCTGCTCGCATTCTCCACCATATGTCGTGGGGTGAATGAGAACACACTCGGTACTGATCGAAAGAGCCCCGGAGGGTGATTTATTTGCCCACACACTGATCACACGTGCCCTGATGAATGGTGCTCGGTGCCCGTCTCAGCGTGGTGCTCGTGGGGTGAAGTGCCGTGGTGCAGATCCCTCTCCCAGGGTGCCTTCGGAGTCTGTGAACAAGGAGAAACAAGCATTAATGCGGTGCCTTCCCGCTGGTGTCTCTTCTCCTGGCTTTTATGGCCAGCGGGAACGAGCTCCAGGTGCGCCACTCATCACGCACAGGTGTTGTGCTTCTGTGATCAGTGTGGCAGCGGCGTTTCCAGGGCGACGCT